GAGAGATTTCTCGTCGGCTACGCTCTTGAAACTGCCTCTCTTAAGCTAAAGACCCTCGACGCAAGTACTTAACATGTCCTGATCCTCCATTGCCTGAGGGTGGAGGTAATTGTTTCCGGCCAAAGCACTTCTTGTTATTGGGTCACAGAATATTCTTTGTCGGTGTTCCAAAGCAACTAAGACATTGCCTAAGAGGTATTCTTAACAGGATAGTGCACAACAGCCACTTTGAGTAAGCCAGCCATATGCGATTTACCGTGTATTGGTTGGGACAAGTGAGGGAGATAAGATCCATACCGTAACTTAATTTCATACAGTCGGTATATTTGGGGCGAGAACGAGTTGTTCCTAGGTGCAAGTTGCTATTTGCCTGTGAGTCCGGGGTTAATTGTCCGGTGGTGAATGCATTGGGTTGGGTAAATATTTCGATGTGTTTAATTTGTCCGGCGGGGTAAAGCCGCGGGGTGTATTTGTTCCCGGGGGAGGTATTTGTTCCTTGATACCCATATGTATTTTTAGATCCTGTTTATTAGTAGTATCATGGAGTTTATAGATTTAATTATAGATATCCTATATGTATCTTACTTCCTAGTAGTGTATCCTAGTATATTATTGCTTCTGAGCGTCGGATATCGCGGTTGCATGGAGAGGCGCACTGGATTCGGTTGCCAGTGAGTTTATCAGAAGAATACCTGGCTACAGTACACGTCAGTTGAGCGCTGTCGCTCTGCGGCACTTGTTGGTAATATATATTGATGATGTTATGGTGTTCTATGCATATACGGCTTTATGTTATCTATTTGTTTGTCTAGTTTTAATGTTTGTCTGGAATGTTTTTTATTGAAGAATAATTTTGTTACATTGGCATACGCACGCGCGCACACACGTCTAGAATAGATAGAACTTGAAGCCATAGCATTTGTTGCATGACGCTTTAGAAATAAACAAGCGTAGTTGGTAAAACTTCAAATCACAGTCATAGTAGAGATCAGTATAGGCTGTCTATTATTACACAGGAAAAAATACAAGGCGAGCTGCTCGTACCTTTGTATGTTCGGCCACTACTAAACATTGTAGTAGGTACACGATTAGGCTGCAGCATCGCCTAGTTGCAAAATTGCAATATACGATGTAACGTGCACGACGTGAAACACCCACGATGTTGACGTGTTTGAAGAAGTGATTTCAAAATTTAATGTAACAACAACCGTCATACACAGGAACGACCACATACTACTGAGTTTTGCCGCTGTCGACGGATATATACGCAGTCAAATCCCCACAAGGATCCGTCTAGCGCATTCCTTTCCCATTTCCTAAAGGTTTCAGACCGTTTCCGTTCGAGCTCTGTCCTGGTTCTATAATCAGACCTATCAATCCGGGTCACATATAATTATATACAGCTTGGCCACGGGAATGTTTTAAATTTCGGAAAACTAAACGTATTAAAAAGAAAATTAAAAAGAAATTAAAAACGAATGTCAATGACGAATTCGCGGCACGCACAATAAATAGGCCTACAGTAATCAATCAGGAATAGATACACAATAGTGCACAGTAATTAATAGTGAACAATCAATAGTGCGCAATCAATCAGCAATACAAACACAACAGTGCACGATAATAGTGCACAATCAATACAATAACACAAACACAAAACAATACAAACCTCTTCGCTGATCATAAAATCTCCAGCGTTTTAATTATTATCGACTATGATTATATGATTATGTATCATCCATCCTAATTATGAATATTAGTTGACGTGTTAATTATGATATTCCTCATTCACTGTGGGTCGCACTCAAGCTCTTCTGTGACGTTGTCACCAGCAGTCGCTCTGCTCCCAATCCAGAGCTCTCTGTGCAACCCGTTAGCCAGTACGTCGCCATCAATCCTTTACCCTGCATAGAACACAGCACAGACGCGTGTCTATTAGCATCAAACTCCATGACAGATGGCGCTCTCGCTCTGTCGTGGACAGAGCCGTATATAGAGAGTCTCTATACGGCTCTGGTCGTAGAGTATTAGCATCTGCAGTCTATTAGTATCGCTTATTACTCGCTTACTACTTGCTAGTATTACGCTTAATTCGTTAATTAATTACATACTTAATTCGCTCTTGATATTATGACACTCCTGGTATTATTACTGCATACGCGCATGCATGTGAATGCGTAAACGCGCTTATGATCGAACAAGCTACACAAGCTGTGCACATGAACAAATTCACGTCAAAAGGTTATGTGTTTTTGATATGAGTATGTCCTATGTGTGTACGTGAGTAGCATAATAGGGGATCAGTAATTTGTTTGGGGGAGAAGTGCGAGAGTCGGGTAGAGCCGGAAATCGGGCTAGAAGTGTTTTGAAATATTTTTTATTTGGCTGAACACAATTGTATGTAGTATTCGGAGTTTTTTTTCTAAATCTTAAATTATTCTCTAGTATAATAAACAAATTTCATTAGAACCGATGTAGAACTTGCACGCGCGTACACGCATACCTTGATCCAGTGTGCTTCTCGCTCCTCGAGTGTAAAATTAATAATCCATACTTGTCCAGCATAGATTTAAAAGCATCGCTCACGTGAATCTTCAGAGCTGCATGTGGGAGAACCAGATGCAGATGCAAAGTCAGCATTCCAGTAAATGTTTACACTCAGTGATTCGCCACACACACACATACGCGCGCGAGCACGCACGACACACAACAAACACACACACACACACACACACACACCCACACAACACACACACACACACACCACACACAACACACACACACACACACACACACACACACACAATATATATATATATATATATATATATATATATATATATATTATATTATATATATATATATATATATATATATATAATCTATATATATATAATATTAAAGAGACATATAGAGAATCTATTCAATTTGAATCTATATAAAATACCCATTGCCCTGAAAATCTAGGGGCGACGCCCCTGTGCACCCCCCCCCCTGGATCCGCCACTGACTGCATACATTACACTGATCTCTACTATACTAACGTACGTACGTACGTTAGTATAGTAGAGATCAGTGATACATTACCATGCCAGTCGTTACAGTTACAGCAGAGCACGTGCTCTGGTTACAGATAGCTGAGCGCACGCGTTTTAGTGAAATATGTCAATATTTTATTTATTCCAAACAGATGGCCAGCAACATCAGTTTTGCGATCGCAGCGCTCTGATAGTAAACAATCGGAACTTGGAAGGACAAATGCAAAGCAAGAAGGAGACGTGAGTTGAAAGGGTTAACAGAGAACTGTAAACTATTAATGTTATGTTCTTCGGTTAAATATCCACTGCGAGTCAAAACGCCCACTAACTTAGTAACTACATATACTGGTATAGTACTGACTCTGAGTTAACTGTGTATGTTGTACTATGAGCTCTAGTAGTAGTAGGCCTACTATAGCCCGCGGATCGCTGCCTGCGGCAGCGATCCGCGGGCTATATAGTACTACTACTAGAGCTAATTGTACTACTACTACTAGTACTATTACTATACTATTACGTATTAGTATTAGTATTTACTACTATTCCAGTGTAGTGGCCCTAGGGGTAGCCAACTACTGTACGACAGGCGTTATATAGCTAACGCGTGTCCTAGTTGTTTGGATTGAGTGTTCGCTCCTGCCGTTATATTAGGCAGGACGGTGATGCCACGTAGCAAATAACAGGTAGTACCAGTGGAACAGAACACAGTTAGATTCGGTTAACTGTACGGTTATAACTTTAATATAGTTTTATTGCTTCCTTCTAGTTTACAAATAATTCCCCTGCATTCGTATATGCAGCAAATCCTATAACCACTACACTAGACTAATAATAATATTGAAGAATTAACGCGTCGCCGGCTTCGTCTTCCCCTCTCACGTTCGTTCTCGCTTCGCGTAGACCTAGGTAGCCTCCCCGGGTGTCTCCCTCGTAGTCACTCCTAGCTCTACCTAACTGAAATCCCGTTCTTCTCCACCTGTAGTGAAAGATCCCGACTGAGCCCTCATTTTCCCTGTAGTCTTCTTTCCTTCCTGAAAACCCGTGCTTCTCGTCCCTCTGTTATCTCTCTCCTCGAGACCTAAAATGCTTTCTCCCTCTTTCTCTTCTTCTTCTTCTTCTTCTTCTTCCTACCTCAGGGATGAGATTCTTCCGCGGATCCGCGGAAATCCGCGGATTTGACAGTCCCAGGGGTCGATTTTGTGAAACGTCTAAATTCGTTGAGAAAATTGGGAGGAGGGTAACAATGTAACAATTTAAATTATATACCCTCAACAGCACCTGACTGTAGACTGTAGAGTGTAGACAGTAGGCTGACAGCGAAGTATACAGTGTATCTGTTTTTGCCTACCAGAAAAGAAAATCCTTGTTCCCAGGCTGCAGTAGAGGGGCAGACATTTGAGGTAGCTGATCACGTAATGACCATGCCTGGCCTGGGGGCCGGGTTTACATGTTGCTGCGTGCATGTTGTGTGCATGACTATGCACTGATTGTTCCATTCGCATTGTGTTTTTTTTATTCAAATCTTGGCAAGGCAGCTTATGTCTGAGTAAAACAATGCAAGCGACGGGTGGAAACAGAAAAAGATCATTATGTCTAGACATTTAATAAAAAATTTGCCCTATTTTCAGCCCCCTGATTTCCTATTATAGTTCGTTTGTTCGTTTTGACAACTTGAAAAGGTGATTCAAGAGTCTCCTATAATGTGTTCAGAATAGCTTAGAATGCACCAAATTGCACCATTCTTTTAAAAAAATTCCGGGGGAGCATGCCCTCGGACCCCCCTAGCATGGCGATGACCTACGGTCCTCGCATTACTCGCTCCTCTGTTTGCTAATTAAAATTTCAGCTGAAAATTAAATTATCCAATCTCATCCTTGCTACCTAGACCTGAAAAATAACGCTAACGCTGCTCAGTTCGGTGCGCCTTATATACCTAGCTGGCCCCGTCCCCCTCCATGCCGTTGTTTAGCACGCGTTGCCAAAACACACGCAGATTTCGTTCGCTGGTGCAATCGCTTTCACCTGCTGACGCAACCCGTGGGTGGTACGATGATTGTATCATCTTATGCAACTTGTTTCTAAGTAAATATTCCTCTCTTCGACAACTTAGACTATTCATTTTATTCAAATCTCCTCATATATTATGTTGACCACTAGTACATAACCGCGTTGATTATTATATTCTATTTATCGCGTTATCGCTTTTCGCGTAAACACTGGTTTTCCCCGACCATAGTAGTAGTAGTGATAGTATGATCCACGATGGCTGCACCCATGGACGTGCGCATTTTCTATGTGCTGTCTATATCTTATCCTCTCTTTAGTCAATATATGGTTATTCCATCTATACTGTGAGTTCAATCTATCCATCCTGATCTAGTCTACTGCTTCTGTGAGTTACACACCCCCGAAATCTCTACATTAATATTACTATTAGTATTAGTACTACTACTATTAGTAAGGTAGTAATCTTTAGGTTAATCTACCAGTACCAGGTAGCTCTAGTACCCAGCAAGGAGCTAAATATAACAAGGAGAGGAAGCAGATTGGCTGTGTGCTTTTCGCCTCAAGGACGCCATCTATGGACCATATAATCAGCTGAAATGGCTGTGCAGACCCGAACCCAGAGACAATAGAACATTAATCTGTTCTAGGCCAAATATGGCAAAGATTTGGGCCAGATATGGCGGCGCTTCCTCTCCTTGTTATATTTAGCTCCTTGGTACCCAGTAGTGCTGCGAGGGTCTATGTCCCCCAGGGTACTGCCGGAACGTACCCTGGTACTATCTAATATGCCGGACCGTTCCTCGCCTACTCCACTAACGAGTCTACTGTTTAGGGAGTCGGCTACGCCTACTCCTTAACCCTAACCCTAACCCTAATCCTAATCCTAACCCTAACCATATCAAATAGTGACCAGGGTACGTTCCGGTATACCGGACTGTACCCAGGGTACGTTCCGGCAGTGCCCTGGGGGACATAGACCCTATGAGCCACAGTAGTAGTAACTATAGCCCGCGTACGGTTGCCGCTAGCAACCGGCCACCCGCCAGCGGCCCGGCTGGCCAGCGGCAACCGTACGCGGGCTATCTAGAGCTAACTACCAGGAGTCTATCAATATTGATACAATGATAGACTCCTGATAGTAGTACTAGTACTAGTATTACTTAGTAATAGTATACTAATTGTAGTACTATTAGTAATGCTGAGAGGGTCTATGTCCCCCAGGGTACTGCCGGAACGTACCCTGGGTACGGTCCGGTATACCGGAATGTAACCTGGTACTAAATACTACTATCTAATATGCCGGACCGTACCTCGCCTACTCCATTAACGAGTCTAGGGAGTCGCCTACGCCTACTCCCTAACCCTAACACTAACCCTAACCATATCAGCTAGATAGTTACCAGGGTACGTTCCGGCAGTACCCTGGGGGACATAGACCCTATGAGCATTAGTAATAGTAGGACAAGTGCATCTATATTCTATAGTATATACTAATATAGTGAATATACAAGTGTTAGCGACTGGAATTCGTTTCTCTCAAACTCATGTAAGTTTAGGCGTAACTAATCATCTTCATGGTTTTCAGGTGCATTTGTCATAGAGTGTGCGATGGCTACACACAGAACCAGTTTGCTGCTCCTCACGTCTGTGCCTGTTGTGAAGCAGAGGATAGACGATATCTTAAAAGTTTCCACTAAGTGTGTGGAGAAAGTACTGTATGTTCACTTTGACACAGGTCATTTCCAGAATGCAGGCAAGAATAAGAACAAGTGCACATTGTTGCCAAATACTAAAGAACTCAGAAAAACAGTTGCTTTCTTTTATGGGCGAGCAAACCAACTTAAGGACCTGCTGGATGTTCGAATTCTACTTTCTGATGCAAAGTCACGACAGAGTGTGATCTCACTCCAACACCAATGTGACATAGTACTCACCGACTATCCGGGGTACAGTGATGCCAGTTTTTCTGAATATGTCAAGAATAGATTTAACAAAGGAATAGATGTGAAAATTTCCCATCTAGGAAATGTGGAAGCCAACAACAGTGATCCACCTTCATATATGGATACTGATAATTCACATAGCATTGCTGCATCCACGAGTACTGCATTAGAGGAAGTCAGTGAAGAAATCTATGACCATACTGTGATGGGTGGAACATTTGACAGACTTCATGCTGGGCATAAAATATTACTGAATGAAGCGTGTTTACGTACCAGAAAAAGGCTCACTATCGGTGTCACCGTTCGACAGATGATTGCAAAAAAGGAGCTTCATGAACTAATAGAGCCAATTGAAGTACGCATGGAAAAGTTGTTGGCTTTTCTTAATGATGTGGATCCTACACTCGAGTATAACTTGGAACCAATAATTGATCCATTTGGGCCATCTATTGTCCTGCCGGAACTGCAATGCATCGTTACGAGTGATGAAACGAAAAGAGGCGGTGAGAAGGTCAATGAAGTTCGTCAGTCAAAGGGGCTTTCAGTTCTTGCATTGCACACAGTTTGTATACTGGATGAAACTTGTCAGAATGAAATAGGAGAGGATAAAATCAGCTCTTCTAACACAAGAAAACGCTTACTTGGCACATTGCTCAAAGTTCCCCAAAACAATGCTGTAATTCAAAGTCACCCCTATGTGATAGGTCTTACTGGAGGTATCGCCAGTGGCAAATCAAAAATATGCCAGAGGCTAAATAAATTGGGGGCAGCTATCATAAGTTGTGATGAGCTGGGTCATGAGGTATATGTGAAAGGTCAGCCTGTTTACTACAAGATTATCGAAGAGTTTGGAACCAATATTCTAACAGAGGAAGGGCTTATTAACAGGAAGTCTTTGGGAGCTACAGTTTTTGCTGACAGCGAAAAGCTTCATAAGCTTAATTCAATAGTATGGCCAGCTCTAGCACACATGATTAAAGAGAAGATTGGACAGTTAAGAGAGCAAGGCAGTAGAGTGGTAGCTATCGATGCTGCAGTATTACTTGAGGCTGGCTGGAACAAATTTGTGCATGAAGTATGGTTAGCCATAATACCAAGGAGTGAAGCTATTAGTAGAGTAAGGCAGAGAGATAACTTGGATGAAGCTGCTGCAATACAGCGAATAGATGCACAAATGACAAGTGAGGAACGTTTAGCTAAAGCCAATGTTGTCATCTGCTCTTTATGGGCAAACGAGGTAACAGATAAACAAGTAAAAAGGGCTTGGTCAAACCTTCTTGTGAGATTGGGTGATGGTTCCAAAATCTGAAAATTTTACATTTCACTAGGTATTTAAGGGTGTGATTACCCACAAACTTAATTTTCTAGATCCTTAGTAATAGAAACAACAGGTTACTAAAACTTGTTTTAGACTAGTACCAGTGAAGTTGGGCTGGAAAGTAGCAAAAACTGTGTTTTACAGGAAAATCTGCAACCAAAGCAACTGAGAGGATTTAGATTTAAATTTAAATGCAACCATAAACACCATGGACTAGATTGAACCATAGTGACATTTAGTTGTGAATTATTAAAACACATGTTTGATGTATTTGAGTGCCCAAGTGCAAGGTATAAATTAGAAAAAAGCAAGGAATAAATGAAATAAGTTATGCCTTTACTATAACAGAGCAAGGCATAGTAGAATTTCCAAGTGTTGGCTGATAGGAAGAAAGAGTAGTTTTATTTAGTAGATTATATATAACAAAATGCCTGTCCAATTTGGGAATAAACTGTGATCTACCATACCATATAAAAGAAAGAAAAAGTAGTCAAAGTGAAAAAAAGAAAGAAAGGTGAATAGTTCCAATAACGTATGTTGGATATGGCAGGAAAACTGTGCATATTATCTCATATCAAAACTAGATAACTACATGAATGGTTAGCTATTTTCCTAATATCTCTATAGACTTGTCAAAAGTAATTAGATGGATTGGCAGGAGACCTGGTAACTATCCGTTGATCAGTGAAGCCTACTACAGCAATGTATAGAGAATAGCATTAACTCTGTGTATGCCAATCTAAGTTGAGATTTTCATTATGTAGTAACGTCTTAAAAAAGGATGCTGATTAGCTCAGTTTTGGCATATTAAAGCTTAGTGCTTGCTGTATAAAACTATGTTTATAAACGTGCTCATTCAATATGTTTAAGCATGCTCATTTTTATATGCACACGGCCAAAGCACGAAATGTTATCACGTTAGTATGTAGTAAGGGTAGCAGTGATTAAAGACAGCACCTAGGCTTTTATGCTAAACGATTTTAAACAATTTTCTGTTTATACATTTTAAGACCCCAGTCTAAAATTAATTATTATACATTCAGAGCAAATTGAAAGAGCTTTATAATGATTTTTTATTATTAATTTCGTTGTTTACATCTATTAAACAGTAATGTTGGTATGCTGTCCATGACACGTTTTTTTCCCACAAGTTGGCTGGGTAAGCCTACTGCATCTAAACCTGAAATATTCAGTTCACTCATAGTAGTAAATTGGTATCGTTCTTAGTATTACTTTTCACAACCACATGACGATCACATCACTACTGATCACATCTAATATGTCACATCATATCTGTACAAATGAAAAACAATTTCCCCATTCATTGTTGCTATGTATTCACAATTACATTTTCACTGAGATGACTGCTAGCTAAGTCCTCATGAAATTCCTCTAACTGTGGCTACAGTGATGAGGACACCAGCTGATATTCACTGATATAAGCACATTAAAATATTACATCTTCTGATCATTTACAGTAATATGTATATTAATGTGTACAAGACTATTTTGAAATAGAGTAACAACAGTACCAGCATAGTGACAATATGGTATATACTTGCGCTCTAATCTCACATTCATACCCTGCCTACTAGGACTTATTACAATAGACGACAATAATTAGTATATACAATCTAATTTGCGTGGGCATGGTCGGATAAAATGTTTTCTGCCACATATTCAAACTGCACATAAAATTCCACTCACAGTGCCAGAATAATACACCCACGGGTACCGAACAGAAACTGATCTGCCACAATCTATGCTTGCTTTCAAAATACAATAAAATTGTTTAAATGAGTAGCTAGTTCATTAAAAGAAGTTTATATACACGTTCTCATTTTATGTCGCGTCCAAACATAATTATGACAACAGAGCAATGGCACCATTAATTGAAAAATACAACTTTGTACTTACGAGTAGTTTCTAAGCTACATATAGGCAAGTTCTACAATGACTGATGGTCCCTGTACATGTCTTGTCTTATACCAACAATAGACATTTTCAGCTCCTATCCCTGCTATGAGGAACCTGAAGTGCTCTCTAGCTGGGATAGTTTACGTTTGTATTCTGATGCCTCCTGTTCCTTCTTCATCAACTGAGTCTTGAACAGTTCTGTCTGTCGCTTGGCCTCTTCCAGCTGACGCCGCAGTGCGTCTATTGAGTTTTCTCCGTTCACAATTTCTTCAGTCAAGTCCTCACTGTTTACCTTTTTCGCATGGAGCTCATCTATATCAAGCAAAAAAAGAACAATGACTAACTGTGTGAAGTGCTTAGAAACGCTATAGTTGTAGTCATTACATTTGTTACGTCGTTACATACATACTGCACACGGTGAAAGACATGCTATTGCAATCTATGTCGTATTATATGATGTTGCAGGAAATTAGAAATGATTCTAAATATATTTGTCTTCACTTGTTGCTGGATGTTACTACATGTGTGTGCAACAGTCATATAGTTCCTAATTGTCTGAAATGACATTAAATGTTACGTTTGGTCATTGTTGCTCCAGTGTATGTTGTCGTTAGCTATACGAAGAAATTAAGTAGCTACATTTCTTGTTCACGGTAAATCTTCGAGATCATTCCATTTATTTTATGAAACAGATTATGGCACACATGAAGACGAAATACAAAAGCTTACGAAGCGAACATCTGAACATACACTGAATGATTGTGTGCCATTACCTTCACAGTTTGCAACAGACACAACCAAAGGGGCGCTCTCATCTGTTGTCTGGTCAGTTACTATTGTATACAACTGTCGCTCGGAATCTGCTTGGCCAGGAGATCTATTTAGTGATATTGAGTTTTTCAATTCCTTTGATTCCGACTGTTCTTTTGCCCACCGCAGTGCAAGCTTTCCTGCTTCTGAAATTTGAGTGCAGTGTTTATTCATTAAATCATTCTTAACGAGAGACGTAATAATTAACTCCGCCCAACGGAGTTGGAGGTTATGTGATCGCTCTCGTGCGTTAGTGTGTTTGTGTGTCGCGCGATCGATATTAGCGCGTCGAGTCAGCGAGCCAGCCAGCGCAGCGACCCAGCGAGCGTGTACATGTGAGCGAGCAGCAGCAACGAGCGGCTGCTACGAGTGAGCGAGCAGCAAGCCAGCGTGTACATGCCAGTACGCTGGCGTATATCGTGGGTTATTCGTGTGTTCGCCAGTCGTATGTCGCTGGCGGAGGTATGCACTCGCCGTGAGTGCACTCTGTCTAGTTATATCTGTTTTACCATGGAAATGGAAATTTCTAGGAACATTTTAATAATCTTATATAATTATTGCCTAATACATAAATTTTTTAAGGCAGGCATGACATAGTAGATGGTTTTTACTTGGACAGCACTAGATGAACAGGACACACCAGAAAGGATTATTGATTAATTAAACCATTATTAAATCAACCATGTTAGGAACTACATCTGGACATGAGAAACACACTGTAATAAAGCATACCAGACAAAGTAACCTGCTGACCGTCATTGAGTGCAGCCGACAGCTGCGCCTGGGTGCTATCGGTCGATACGAACGTGATACCATGAGTCTGAAGCCACTGCAGAGTGTCTGCGGCGCTCGCATCTTAATTAACAGAAAATTTACCATCACCAGGATTACAGTAAATTTCACTGATAAAATAAAATGAAATGCATAATTCTAATATAACGTAATAGCGATAGTAACACATAATTCTGTAAATACACATGCATAACGTACAAATACGTATTAATTGTACAAAGAACAGCTTATCTGCATGACAACATTACATGTTAACTGCAACATTAACAGCAACACATCAAGACACACCAAATCCATTTACGATTACACGCACATGTAAGGATGGTTAAGACTTACTAGACGTAGCACTTGATAGAGGCGCTGTTGCTTCAGCAAGAGCTGCTAGTGTTGCTAACACTGAAGTACTGCTCTGGTCAACCGTATCTGTAAGAAGCATCCACATCAATAAACATGCATTCACTTCTTGTATTCAGAGGGCAATACCACTGTATAATTGGGGGGTGAGGCAACATGGTTCAGCTTTTTTTCTAAGAAATGCATATATGCTAATATTCTGCTAGCTCAAATTGGTTTTAGGATAACACACTACTATTAAATATGCTTGGTTGGTGTAAAAAACACCAACGTACCTCCACTTCCATTCTTTTTCCGTGCTCGACTCGCAAGTGTCACCATGGCAGGGCTGAGAACAATTTTACTGGCTGGCTTTGGAGATGGCTTCTCAGTTTTAATTGGAATCGGTGTTAATCTGGATGACACCATCGTTGTCAATGGCTGCTCTGTGTCTTCTCTTACTTCAACCATTGATGGTTCTGCAATGGTCACTTCTTCTGGCTCAGCTATAGTCTCATGAAAAGTTGCATTCTGTAGAAAAAAAATTATAATAAATATTTTTTGTAAATACACGTGACTATAAATTACTTATTAAAGTTCAACACACTATACTGAAAAACCGCATATTGCGGCCTAATTCAGTAGAAGGCACCTCGCAATAAAAATATATGCCCACTTATTACATTTTAACTACCCACTGCCGAAGGCCTTTTTAACAAAATTTCTCGTGAATATAGTGCAGAAAGATGTACATTTTCCTTTGTGTACAACTCCACTTGATAATTAATATTAATAACCAACCTAAAGCCAAATATTTGTAACTGAGCAATGTTAGAGGACATCTGACAACACAGATGTGTTTTTTTCTTAGTCAGTCGTGATTAAACATAATAGCCAGGAAAAGTATTTTGCACGAAAATAAAAAACGGCAATTATGAAGTTGATTGTGGTGGCTTCTTCAATGCCTATTTCTGATTCACTGAGCAAATAAGTTAAATAACTATATTCAGCTCCGAAGAAGTGGTTTCTTACATCCAGAAGAATTTCTCGTATATGCATAGCTCCACTATCTGATGCAATGTCTAAAGGAGTCTTGTCAAACTTGTTGAGTGCTGTGATGTCAGCCCCATTTTTCAGCAGCATACGTATCACGGGCACATTTTCATTATCCACAGCCCAATGGAGAGGTGTCATTTTTATCTGCAAGTTAAATCACTTGGATTACAGAAATTGTACAAATTACTAAGAGGCTATACACACCTTTGCATAAAACAAATAACCTACTAGCAAGCAATATTATTTTAAAGGGTTGTAGAGATTAGGCATATATCATTATAAAATCGTGTGGAAAACAAGGGATTTCAAAGGACTCACTAGGAAGGTGATTTACAATTTATAAGAATACGAAAAAGGTGATGCATGTATAGGGTTAAAAAGGAACTTCTTTGCCAGGCAGCAAGTAGTTGCTGCCAGAGAAAAAAGCAGGCAACCCACTTACTCACACAGGCAGACACTTGGGAAAAACATAGCTTCTAGTTCATCCCACCCCAACAATACTGTCTTATTGTCCCCGTCCCTAAAATAAGAAAGTTGGTTTGGCTTTCTAGCCTTTTGTCCCTGATTCGTCAATTTTAAATATAGTCACACATGCTTAATCAAAGTTGCACATTGAATAAAATATGAATGGTAACGTAGGTTAACTGACCATTGCAGGTAGCAAAACTGGTGCTTGTTGCCCTTAATTTCGAACCCGGAATGCACACCTGTTAATATTTCTTATCAAAACCTTTCTGTATTAAAAGGTACTTGAAATGAAAATGGCAGCCAAGTATTGGTATTCTGATCAAATAGAAAACAACAACCTATTATCGACAACAAGATTATCATTATATAAACACCAGGGGTGGAAATTAACTTTTAAACAAGGGAGTCCGTGCCCTCCAAAAAGAGGGAGCCCGCGGCAAAATGAGGGAGTCCGCACTCTGAAGTTCAAAATTAAAGATCATGTGCATAGTGAAGATTCATGCGGTTGCACGTCTGCCAAATTTTCTTTGGACATTTGCTGAAAAAATATGGTAATTCTGCGAGGCCGTGCTCTGGAACGAACTAGTTAGTATGGCAGAATTTTCAGGGAGTCAAACGGACTCCTGCATATGTCAAATCAGGGAGTCCGGCAGTAAATCAGGAAGTATTTGACTCCGGACTCCCGTTAATTTCGCAGCCTGGACACTAATGAGACTACTAGTATGATTATCAAGAATACGTTGCGCAATTTACAGTACTAAAACTTTACACTCGCCCAGTAACCCAAGGCGAGTAAAAATAATGTTAGGCCACAGAAGGTCAGTCGGTCATGACCTCATGACATTTCATCACTTCGTCCAGCATTTAAAGGTTTCTATGCATAGGTGAACAATTCATAATCTGTGATATCACTTTGGTCTGAGTGCTAAGGTTACGCCAGTACAATTCACTTACTGTTTCCTAATATACTGATACATTCTTTTACCACTAGCATGGAAACTACTTCATTCTATATCAAGAGCTCATAATAGAGAAGAGTATGACACCGTTTTAACAGCATTTTGCATAGTTTTCAACTTGTAAATATTCTATCAATATGTGAATAAATATATTCAAACTTTACCTTGTTTTCGTTTATGATTCTCCTTTGCGATCATTTGGGAAAACTGTGTGAAACCGTGTCGTATTCAAATAACTTTTTTGAAGAACACATGTATACGATTTTCAGGTAAATTGGTGGTGTCATATGATTAAGGGAGAATCATAGACGAAAACTAGGTAAAGTTTGAATATATTTATTCACATATTGATAGAATATTTACAAGTTAAAAACTATGCAAACGCTGTAAAAACGGTGTCATACTCTTCTCTATTATGAGCTCTTGTTCTATATCCATAACTACTAGAAATTTGTTGGAAAATACTTGCAAATGTGCATAACGCATGCATAACACAGCACCAGGTTCGTGTTAATTTCCAAGAATATGAATCCCAAACTTTGGAGCTACATGTGAAAATCTGGGTCCCTAAAATTTAAGCTGGGCAAGATTTTATCACAGCAACATATTACATACCATATCTTTCGCATCAACATCTGCCCCATGCTGCAGAAGCAGTTCCACTATCTCTAGATGCCCCTGCTGCGCAGCAACATGGAGAGGGGTGCGATCAACTTTAGTTCTAGCATCACGACTAATGCCAGCTCGCAGCAGCACCTCAGCTGTCTCTAAATGACCATACTGTGCTGCCATGTGCAATGGAGATGTGCCAAGCTACAATAAAAATTGTCAGGTTCTTTATTCATATGCATTTTCCTATGACCTATCCTATATATCAGGGTTCTTCCCATGCCTTTCAGCCCCAGGTGGCCAAAAAGGTTGGCGAGGTGGTAAAATTAGTTTTGGTGGTTATGCTATCCGAGGAGCGAGCAAAGCGAGCACCAAAGGTGGTCGCCATGCTAGGGGGGGGGGCCGGGGGCATGCTCCCACGGAATAAAAAAAAGGTGCAATTTGGTGCATTCTAAGCTATTCTGAACACATTATATATGAGACTCTTGAATCACTCTTTCAAGTTGTCAAAAGGAACAAGTAAACTATGAACATGAAATGATACAAGTGTTCACATTAAAAATAGTAATACCATCGAAAACGAGGCAAATACCTGGAGCGTGGCAAAGATCTTGAAGCTTCCGGTTATATTTATCTTCTGTGTATCAATGATCGTATGAATTTGAAGTTCATACATTTAAAAAATTAATAATTCAACCAAAGATTAAAAAAAATATTAGTTATATTATTTATTAATTATTTTTATATGCTCTCATTTGCATTAATAACGCTTAACAGCATGAAATGCAATTTTATTTCAACGAAAGCACTTTCCTGACCAGTGTAGAATACAAACGAACACCCATGTGTATGTATGCATATATATAGGTATAGCACCCTTAATTTGCTGCTGGATTCAACATGGCGCCTGTGGCGCTCAAGTACGTGGCCAATCATCTTCCTAACCTGTGTTTATCTATAGACCTTGCCAAGATTCGCGTCACGCGTGCTGACAGTATCGTAAGTACGCGGCTTTGTGCTTTACGTTTGAAGCTTTATTTAGATTTTAGTTCAATAATGTGTAGTTTATTGATGGAAGAACACTGATTTTCATCAGTGAGGTGGTATTTTGGACAAATTTCTGTGTGGCGGCTGAGAATTTTAGTAAGGCGGCCCGCCTCGCTTGTGTCAATGCAGGGGAAACACTGCCTTTAATGCATGTCAACCCACACATGCCTTCAAACTATAAGAAAGAATGTGTGACATACCATAAATCTCCCCCCCCCACAATTCCATATTTGCCTAAGAGGTAAGGTTAACTTAAATTAAGGTAAGGGTCACTTAGTCAGGGTGCAGCACAGACCTAAGTACAGGGATGAGAACAGCAAGAAGGAAAAAAAGAGGAAAATATAACGAAGGACAAGTACGAGGCGGCGTAGCCGCCAATTGGGGAAGGTGCAGGAGGGGTGACCCCTCCCCCAAGGGGGGTCTGTGGGATCCCCCCAGAATTTTTTTGAGAAAAATATACTCTGTAACGACATCTTTAGGCCATGTGGAGATACATTCTAGCTCAATTTAGGTATTTGCAAAAGCCATACTCGTAATATAATATTATTTTAACAACAGATTTGAGGCCTTCCCCATGACCTTTTGTTGCTAACCTAGCAACTGTACATAATGGCTTTAGAACAATATTATATACATTAAACTGGTAGAAAACAAGTATAACATTTCTTTCAAGCATGAATAATAAAAATATAAAATTGTCATGTGATATAAAAATTTACTCAAACCATGTTAAAAGTTCACAGGCAGTACACTAATGTTTACCTGTCTAGCAGTTTAACAAATTAAACATACAACGGGCAGAATTGGTTGGTGCTGAAGTCAAAACAAATATTAATGATATTATATTGGATTGATTGGAATAGCCATTTGAAACAGAAATAGTCATCACCCCCCCCCTCCGAAAAAATTATTTATTTTCTTTTTTTCCCCTTTTTCTTTTCCTTTTTTACCACCGAATTTGCACGATTCACGCGGCTGTCAAATCGATGGAATTCCGCCGATCGGCGGACAATTCTCATCCCTGTAAGTAGCTCTATCCATGTAGATACTATTCTGAGGCGTAGCGAAGGGCTACAGAGTTAGAGCAAAGTTATGATTTCTCGGCAGTACACAACATCCATTATATTAAAACTCGGTGATATCTAATAATAAATGAATGTCTGATGATATAAATAATCATGCATAAACTATTTTTATGCAATAGGTATCACAATATACTCTCAAATTTTAAAGTATTTGTCCCCCTGAACTAACTAACATACCCAGTCAGTTGTGAAAGGGGCTCCATTAGTCATGAGTACTCTAACTTCCTCTGTGTCACCTCTCCTGGATGCATCCAACAGCCTCTTGCCAAGATCCACCAATGACATACTGGTGAGTACAGTTGTGACTCAGATTGGTCTGAGGTCCTGTGTGTTTGACATGGAAAATAAAAAGCATTGTAATGCAATGGGAGTTTCTTGGTAGTTCACCAAGTAATGATTGGTGATAATAATAAGCAGTAAGGTTGCAACTCCAATCACTGAGAGAGCTTAATGTTTTAACTGTTAAGGGGACATCCATCCCACGATACTGCATATATTTTGGCACTGCTGCTACACTAAATTATCCCCTAATTTGAGGTGTAACACTTATTTAGTAAATAAGTGTTACATCTCAAATTAGGAGATTAATTTTTTTAGAGAATGTGGTTGCAGGGCTCACAAGCCTCATGCATTAGGCGTGAGACTCACTTCAGCACAATCTCACGCTTGCATGCACATTTCTGATAGTCCCCGAAAATCTCACGCAATTCCAATAATCCAGATGAGACGGGATACTAGAGAAGCGTTGCCGAAAGGAGATTTGATCCACAATTCCATATTTGCCTAAGAGGTAAGGTTAACTTAAATTAAGGTAAGGGTCACTTAGTCAGGTGCGCAGCACAGACCTAAGTACAGGGATGAGAACAGCAAGAAGGAAAAAAAGAGGAAAATATAACGAAAGGACAAGTACGAGGCGGCGTAGCCGCCAATTGGGGAAGGTGCAGGCAGGGGTGACCCCTCCCCCAAGGGGGGTCTGTGGATCCCCCAGAATTTTTTTTGAGAAAAATATACTCTGTAACGACATCTTTAGGCCATGTGGAGATACATTCTAGCTCAATTTAGGTATTGCAAAAGCCATACTCGTAATTAATAATATATTTTAACAACAGATTTGAGGCCTTCCCCATGACCTTTTGTTGCTAACTAGCAACTGTACATAATGGCTTTAGAACAATATTATATACATTAAACTGGTAGAAAACAAGTATAACATTTCTTTCAAGCATGAATAATAAAAATATAAAAGTCATGTGATAAAAAATTTACTCAAACCATGTTAAAAGTTCACAGGCAGTACACTAATGTTTACCTGTCTAGCAGATTTTAACATTAAACG